AAAAAAAAAAAAAAAAAAAAAAAAAAAAAAAAAAAAAAATAAAAAAAAAAAAAAAAAAACAAAAAATTTAAAAAAAATAAATAAAATAAAAAAATTAAAAAATAAAACAAAATTAAAATAAAAAAAAAAGAAAAAAAATTAAAATAAAAAAAAAATAACAAAAAAATTTAAAGAAATTAAAATAAAATAAAATAAAATTAAAAAATAAAACAAAATTAAAATAAAAAAAAAAGAAAATAAAAAAAATTTAAATAAAAATAACTAAAATAAAAAAATTAATAAAACCTTTTTTCCACAGTTTTACATTTATATTCTGCTTACTTTTGTAGATGTTTAATTCTCTTGTCTTTGGTATGAAGAGTTTGCTTGAGTTGTTCTATGTAATTAATTAAGTTGATTCGAACTTTTTGATCATTTGTTGCATTGTATTTTCTTTGATATTCAGTGATTTTTTTATTCGTATCATTAATAATTTCTACAGCTCACTTTTGTACCACTGCATTTACTGGAGGCGAATCAGAAACAACGATTTTCTTAATTATTCATGATAGTATAACAGAGGCAGTACTAAAGTTTTGAGTAAACAAAGTGATGTTTAAGTTGGCAGCACTAAGGTTTTAAGCAGTCAATATAGTGTTTGGGTTAGTAGCACTAATGTTTTGAGCAGTTAATATGGTGTTTGGGTTGGCAGCACTAAGGTTTGAAGTAGTTAGAGTGGTGTTGATATTGGTAGTGTGAAAGTTTGAAGTAGTTAAAGTGGTATTGGAGTTGTTAATACTAAAGTTTGGAGTAGTTAGAATAGTGTCGAAGTTGGTAGCACTAAGGTTTGAAGTAGTCAAAGTGGCATTAAGGTTGTTAACATTAAGGTTTAGAGTAGTTAGAGTGGTGTTAAAGTTAAAATTAAGGTCTGGTATAGTCAATATAGTGTTAGAGTTGACAATGTTAAGGCTTTGAGTAGTCAAAGTAGTATTGAAATTTTGATTAGTAGATATTATATGAATAAGATTTTTGATGATGTGTTCTATTTCGTGTGCTGGTTTGGTTTTATTTTTTTTTATTTATCACTACATTTTTTGCATAATAACTTTTTTTTGTATTTTGGATTTTTAGAGATGATTATACAGTAATATATGAAGGCGTTACAATATCTTTGATATTAATTTGTTGGTAATTTATAAATATATGTTAGGTTTTGATTAGTCAAAGTAATGATGTCAGAGGCACTAAGGTTTGAAGTAGTCGAAGTGTTGTTGGAGTTGGTAATGCTAAGGTTAGGATTAGTTGGAGTGGTGTTAAAGTTGGTAGTGCGAAAGTTTGAAGTAGTTAAAGAGGTGTTGAAGTTGATAGCACTAAGGTTTGGAGTAGTGTTGAAGTTGGTAGTGCTAAGGTTTGAAGTAGTTAAAGTGGCATTTAAGCTGTTACTGTTAAGGTTTGGAGTAGTTAGAGTAGTGTTGAAGTCAGTATTAAGATCCAGTGTAGTCAAAGTATTGTTAGAGTTAGCAAAGTTAAAGTTTTGAGTAGTCATAGTAGTATTGGAATTTTGGTTAGTAGATATTTTATAAGTAAGATTTTTGATGATGTGTTCTATTTCATGTGCTGGTTCGGTTTTATTTTTTTCTATTCATCACTATACTCTTTGCATAATAACTCCTTTTTATATTTTGAATTTTTAGAGATAATTATATGGTGATACATGAAGATGTTACAATATCTTTGATATTGATTTGTTGGTGATTTATAAATATATATTAAGTTTTGATTAGTTAAAGTGATGATATCAGAGGTATTAAGGTTTGAAGCAGTCAGAGTGGTGTTGAAGTTAGTAATGCTAAGGTTTGGAGTAGTTGGTGTGGTGTTGATATTGGTAGTGTGAAAGTTTGAAGTAGTTAGAGTAGTGTTAAAGTTGTTAATACTAAAGTTGAGAGTAGACAAAATGGTGTTGAAGTTGGTATCATTAAGGTTTGGAGTAGTCAGAATGGTGTTTAAGTTGTTAATGTAAAGGTTTGGAGTAGTCAGAGTGGTGCTAGAGTCAGCAGCACTAAGGTTTTGAGTATCGTATTGTGTGAGTAATATTTTTGATAGTTTTTTTTTTTTTTTGTTAAGTTTTATTATAATATATTATATAGCAACTTCACTATACTA